GTTAGCAGTTGCTAATCCGTCTTGGCGTAGAATCCCTGAATTTCTTATTGAGCGAGCCAGAAGATAAGCAACTACCAGAAAATGAATCGAGGGTTGGGCCTGACTTGACATTTCGATCTTGGCCCGAAGCAATCACTAACATAAACGGAAACTTTTCGAAGCATTTTGGTTATTCTGTTCAAACATGCTGTGCAACCGAGGATTGCAATTTTCAATTGATCCTATGGTATGTATAATGATAATATTGCTCAGCTGTAGCACCCTTTCGGTGCCTAACTGCCATGCCACCCAAAGGTTGCACGAGGGCTATGATACTGCCAGGTTGCCCAAGCCTAGACAAGGGAAGTCGACAGGCAGAGGTCGGGTTCGAACCACGGACCTTCCGGTCAGTAAATTCGCGTTTGGACCATCTCGTCCATTCTATGGTAGCTCGCGCTTTTGCGGTAGGGATATTACTTTAACATTGAGTTGGTATACTTCGCCCGGCTCGTTCACAGACTGAGTGCAGAGGCTTATTCATGAATCTCACCGAAATCAGCGTCACAGCGGTTGGACTGAAAGAGGACAGAAAAGATAACCACAATATCACTCAATTGTTTGTACGAAACACGACGATCTGCGACCAACCTTTGAGTTTTTCAAGGAAAGTCGCAAATTATTATGCGTCTCTCACTGCTTGGCTTAATAATGAAAACCTGCCTGTGGTTCTTCGAAGCTCACCGCGCCCCAGTCTTAGCACACTACAAAACGAACGATATCGCTCGTTATGACGCACAGGACAGGCAGCTGAGTGAGTGAGCATTATCCAACCTCGTTGATCTCTCAGATTGGATCACTGCAACGACCACCGACTGATTCGAACTGGCACGAAAGGGAAAAACGCAACGAGTAACACACAGTGAATAGTGATATTGCGTGAAAGCGTTAAAAATGTACCGAACGCGATCTTCACGGTCAGTTCGTGAATCCAAACGAATAGAAACAATGTGCACTGGGATGTGAGTGATTTGTACAAGAAATACCTGGTAGATGGACGAAAAACCAGTAGTCATTGCAGTAGAAGAAAATATTTGATGCCAAATTGCAGAATGAGATGACAAATAAGATGCAGACCGTGAGTTAAAACGGATATTATATATAGAAAAGGAGTTTGGGCAGGGAGAGGGAACCGGTGCAAATTACAGGCGATCGTCAAGTAGACGAACGGTGGAAGGTAAACGCTTGGAAAATAGGGAACTGTTTTTTCGCCCAGGACTAAGCCGAGTAGACCCGAGTTTTAGGGTGCTGTTGGCCGTGAGTGGAGTATCTGTACACCGTTGCAGCGAGGTGAACCGATACAACTGGCGGGCAGCCTGTTTAGTACACCGGTCGGACAAAGATATGGCAGAGCGGGGGCAAAACTGATTGATCCCAGACAGGACCTCCTCGTGTATCCCGGTGGGACTCAACGACAGTGATGGAGAGGAACCAAATGCCGAACTGGTTTCGGAGGAGGGAGTGTAATATTCGGAAACCTCCTGTTCGGTCATGTCAAACGAACGTCTCGCCAACGGTTTTGGAGAGGCAGACCAATTCACCCCCTGCTCCAATGTTATCAGCTGTGCTGTGACAGAGTCTAGATGAGACTCCATTATGGACAAAGTTCGCTCCAACGGTGTCAAAATGAACTGATCCAATTGGTCCAACTCCAAATGGGCTCCGGAAACATCTTCCGGTGTTAGGGTATCCGTAATCGCATCCAGACTGAATGTGGCCGAAGAACCCAAAGTGTCATACATAATTGCCGGATGGCATAGAGTTTCTTTCAGGGAAGACTTGCTCGAGGGCATGGAGGAGGTGACTGGAGACTGATAGGGACCATTTGCCACGGTTGTGACTGTGAACCAATCAACGTCGGCCGCGCTGAGGTTCGTAGCTGTCGCACACGCACCTGGAGGTCCTAGCAAGATGGAAACGAAAGTTAGATTATCACGTGCCCC